CCATGCGGCAAGACATGTCCGTCGCCTCGTCCCGCAGCTGCTGTATTTTCTTCTGCAGCAGTGCCAATGGGATGCGTTGCGCCGCCCGCGCATTCGCGGCTGCGAGGCGCCGTGCCTCCTGCAGTCGAAGCGCAAAGAGGTGCTGCTGCACATGCAGCGCGGCGCCAGCTGGCACCTTCCATGCGCCTAACACAATCGCCAGCCGTCCCTGCGCCTCCTCCGCCTCGGCGGCACTCAGTGCGGCGCTGGCGGCAGCAACAGCAACGGCACGGGTGAGAGACGCAAGAGTTTCACGGTGGTCCCGCGCCCCCCGCAGCAGTGCCTCGCGCTGTGCCCTCTCCGCCTCAGCGAGGCACCCCCGCACCGACGCCTCATGCTGCAGCACTGCCTCGCAGTGGCTGTTTGTGGTCGCCGCAAGTTGTCTCGTGAGGGTGTCACGCGACGCGGCGTGGGTTTTGCACAACTCCGCCTCTTCTTTGCGTCGGGCTAGCTCCGACGCAGTGAGCTTGGCAATCTCCTCCTCCAGGCTGTCAATGCGACCTTGCATGGCCTGCTCTTTCGTCTCATGATCATTCTTGAGGCGCTTGTTCACCTCCCGCAGCGCCAGCTCGTGCTCTTGACGCAACATCTGCATCGCAGCCGCATGCGCGCGCTGCTGCGCCACCTCCTCGGAGCTCTGGCGCCCCGCCAACTTCTGCATCTCGTCACGCAGCCGTGCCGCCTGCTGCTGCATCGCCTCGCGGTGGGCAGCGGCGTCCTCCTCACGTTGCTGCCGCAGAGCGGCGCTCTGTTGCTGCGCGTCATGTAGGCGGGCCTGGGCATCATTGAGAGTATGCTGGAGCGAGGCAATGGCAGCGGCGTGTTTCTGCTGCAGCTCATGCGTCTCGGACCGCGCCTGTGCGAGCGCCGCCAGCACATCGTGCTGCCGCGCAAGTTCCCGCCGCCTCTCGGTCTCTTTCTGGGCGCCACGCTCTGCCGTGCGCACCCACTCGCGCCACGCAGCCTCCTCGTCGCGTAATGCCCTCCGCACCATGCCCTCGCATTCACTAAAGAGTGTCTGCGCCGCTGCGTGCTGCTGCTTCAGCTGCGTCGCCACCGTTTGCTCGCCCTCCAGCTTTGCCTTCCGCCAGGCGATGCACACAGCGTCGACGCAGTCCCATGTCTGATTCAGCGCCGCTGCTACCGTGTTGTCGCTGCCCCCATCCCTGCTGTGGCTGGCGCCGACACCCTCCGCCATCAAGGACGTCACGCGTCCCCGAACTTCGGCCGTGAACTGCAGCACCTGCCGAGTCGTGCCGCTCAACTCCGCCAATGTGCGCCGCAGCTTCTCATTTCCCTCCTTCACAGCGTCCTGCAGCTGTGTCGTTATTTCCTGCTGCCCCTGCAGCCGCCGCTGCAGCTCCTTGGCGTCATCTTTCAGCGCCTGCTGCTCACGTTGGCTCGTCTCACGCAGCTCCTTGTGCGACTGGAGGAGGGACTCGAATTCCACCCGCATGGCGACGAGCACCTTCCGCTCGCTCTCACTCGTGTCGTCCCGCTCCTGAATCTGCTTCATCTCTCGGCGCAGCTGCTCCAATTCGGTGCGGTCACCGCGGTACATCTCACTGAGCCGCTCGAAGTTCCGCTGAATGGCGTTGACGCTGTCGGTGCGTGCCTGCAGTTCCCGCCGCTGGTTCTCAATCACATCCATCATCTCTGACGGCTTCATCGCTGACGCCTGTGACGCGTTTGGCGGCCGAGGGTTGAGAGACATCGACCCGATGGAGGCGGTGCGCGCGCCGCCGTTGCGCGGGATGATCGCCGGTAGGCTACAGCTTTCGTCCTGTGACCTGTTCCACTCTCGCGTGTTCCGTGCAAAGGGTGTGGTGTTGGCGGAATTCCACATGCACCCGCCACACCGGAGATCCGCAAGCGGACGCTTGACTAACTGCAACTGTATCTATTTTTGCGTGTGTGTACCTGTTTGACACCCTTTGTGTGGGTGCAGGTCT